CCAACCCAAACAATTCTATGATTTGCTTGCATAGCCTCATAAAATATTTAGGTTTCAGTATCAGTCGCATCAATGGATTAACCACCTACCAGTGGACCGCTTGGGACACTACCAGTTGACCATGTCGCAGGTGCTACTTTTGGCTGCCAGTTGGCTCCTCCTGTTAACTTTTTCTCTCCAGCATTCCACTGAAGGTCTCCCCTAATAGAGAGGGAGAGAGACACAGCTATTATTTACACACCCACACAGTGAAAATTAAAACCAACATTTCATTAATGTTAAGCTTGCAGCTACATTAGTTTATGGAGTATGCAGATTAAGTTATTAACAGAAAGTTAGACTTCTAGTGCCACTCGGTTTCAAGGGTTGTTAGCAGTAGACACCAGTACACTCTATACTGAAGTCAGTTACATGGTTATGGCCTTTGTGGTGAGAATTAAAGAAAAGTTTTGCTTAGTATTGACTTGAAGGTAACATATTGCATATACCCTTGGCAAAGTAGGAAGAGGGACTGCTACTGCCTATTCTACTGGGGCCTAGCAGTAGAGCTGCCTGCTAGAAGTCTTTGAAAGGTCATTTCATTGCTGGAAATCTTGCTCAGACAGCTGAAGGAGGAAAGCATTCAGTTCTGAAAAAAGTTGATAGATACAAGAGAAACAAATCATTCATAGAATAAAAGGGCTGTTGCAAACCCAGGTATTGTTAGAGGCCACTCTATTCAGAATAAATACACTATTTGAATGAAGTAGATTGAAGGAAGCTACATTTGGGGATAAACCTCATGCTTTGTTTATACACATCCTATTGTCTCCAGAGACACAAAACATTTTGAAGTACACACATAAACTGATCTTGCATACAGAGGAAGACTCGGCAGAGAAGTAAGCAATCAGTTAAATTAAGAAGATACATTCAAAAATAAATGCAGTGCTGTAAATATTTCTTCTTGCAAAAGCAGCTTTTCACTGTACAGACTGAACATCTTTTCTATTTTACAAGTATTCCAATGCCTACATGATAAGCACATCCAGCGTCTGCAAAAAGATAACAAAACTATTACTGATGAGCCTAGATTACTGAGGGGAGCTAAACAATTTATTATCTGGACTATTTGTTCATTTTTAGTTGTTTGTAAACCAGCTGTCCAATATGAAGACAGTAATTTATAGAAAAAAAAATTTCTAAGACTCAGATTAAAGCCAGCAAGTTTAAAAGTTATGTCAGGAATATTTAGCCTTAATTTTTCAGTGAGCCTGTATAAAATAGAATATTTTTTCCAGATTTTTTCTGAATTGACTTTCTGGGGGGTAGGCAGCACATAACCAATTAATTGATTCTTAAGGAACACTGAAATAGATGTGAGACTATACAGCAGAGTTGAAAAATCCCCCTTTTTTTTTTTAAACAAAGTTGAACTTACTTTTTTGAAGTGGTACCAGAAATTCCAAGATCTGAAGATAATAAAAAAAGAAAAAAACAGTCATGTTTAGTAAATTAAAGCATGTCAAAGCAACAGCTCACGTTTTTATTGCACATGGGCTTATATAAAATAATAAAGTTTTGGCTGTTTTCACTTAGACAGTATCAGTGAACTGGCCACATCTACCCATTCTTCAGGGCAAACTTTGGAGGAACCTTGCAGACATCTTATACTTGAAGAAGCAGTTTTTGCTCCACAAGTGAACCAGAGTAACAATGTATTTAGGTCTACAAAATGCTTAGTCATTTAAGAGCACCAAACTATGTACCGTGAATGACAACACTGGTTTCTGTTCCTCATTAGACGTACAGATTTAAAAAGTGTTTTTCATATATACATAAACCTGAATGTTACCTGAAAGTTTTGCACTGTCATATGCTCTATCATACATGGGAACTCCAAGTAGTTTCCTTGGTTATTCTTTGGAAGAAGATTTAAGCTAAGTGTTAAAGCATACTCTTCTCGCATGACCAGCATGACTCTTGTAAGTCACAAATTGCCAAGTTTGATTTTCTCCCTCAAACTTGGATCTACTTTAATGACTTGCAGAAGCTGACTTCTAAGCATGGTAGTTTCCCCCCAGTCCTAACAGAAGAGTATGCACCATAAAATAAGTTGTATCTTTGCTGCGGTGTGTTGTGTATTCCATTTATACAATCTTCCAAAGTACAGCTTCAGTAGTATGGCACCTTAGCCGAAGTGGGCCTCTTAAGTGTTTTGGGTGGCTGTGTCTACTGCTCTCTAGTTATACAGGCTCTAGACCTTCTCCTACTACAGGAAAAAGAACATGTTTTGGCAAGTTCACTGTCTGAGAAAAGGTCTGTTCTTGGCTGTTGCACACCCGTCACCCACTGCTGCTGCTCCTCCTCTCATTAAGAAGGAAGTCAGGTATTTGTGTCAACAAGCTTTTCTGCTTAAATTCCACAGTGCTATCAGATGCTCCGGACAATTTTTACCTCTCCATCTGTTATTACACAGAAGAGTAAGTTTATACAGGAAGAGTCTGATGTGCCCTTGAGTGTATTTGGGACATCCACAAGTTACAAATCACACCTCCAAAACAGATCCCATTATTTGACTCGGATCCTGGGCATAGAAAGGAAAAAGTTACCAACCCAGACTAGCAGCTATCTGAATCAGACATTATTCCTGCCTTTAGATTCCCCCATCTCCCCAGGGAAACAGGAGGACATTGAAGCAAGCTAAAATAGACGGGTATTTGGCTCTGCAGAAAAGTAACCCATTTGTATGCCACACCATTTAAAACCAAAATTTGACACTTACTGCCTACTAAGTTCGCAAGAGATGAATCAAGATCACTTCCGAGGCCTTTGCTTGTTGCTGAAGCAGTGACTGTTGCTGTGGCTGAGGGTGCTATAGACTGACCAGAAGGAACCATGGTTGGCATAAGAAGATCACCTAAGCCATCAAACACTGGAAGTGAAAGAAAAGTGGGTTAGAACAGCAGCTGTGGTAAGAAAACCACTACCTGCCAGTTTGCTTCTCCTCCAACAAATATGGCACAGACAACAACATCACGAGTCTTACCAAAACACCATTTGACATTAAAAGTAATGCCAACAAGGGCATGCATCTTGTTTTACTGGACACTGGATGTACAGTAATCCCGACAGTGCTATGCCAATGAGAGCTAATACAAGAGGACATGCCTAAAAGGACTTCAGTTGGAGAGTTGAATCTACACAGCTACAGCATCACTTTCACATGACACTATTTCTCTTACAGCCATCCTTGGAGAGATGTCAGACACACATTTGTCAAGAGATATTCATTTAAAGGTTTTTAAAATGAACATCTTGCAGCGAACACCGGTCAGAATTACTGTGACAAAGGCAGTCTTATACCTTGACATCTTACAGCAACAAGATTGAGTCTCAAGATGTTACTTATTCACTTGCAACCAGTAGGGAATGGGGAAAACCTATGACATCTTAGGAGATCAGAAGGAACCAGAATCATCCACAATGACAGAGCTAGCCTCCTTAGTCCAGTCATCTAACCTAGAAGTTCATTTTTTAGATCCCTTGAAGTCAAACCGCCTGGTACAACTCATGCTGGCACTGTATCTTCTGATCTGTATTTAAGGTACATGCTAATGTCAAGTCAACAGGAAGGGGCAGCATGTGCACTGGCAAGCAACCAAATAACCACACAGCAGTACTACTTCAACCTTTTTCTTTTACAGTTGCAGAACTCACCAATTTTAAGTTTGTAGCAAGGACCCAGCATGGAAAATATAGAATGAAAGAGACACAAACAAAATGATAGCAGTGATGAAAGTTTAAGCTTATAGTCAGGCAAAGAACATGACCTCAGTCTCCATTCTGTGTACCTTCAGGTGCCATGCAAGCTCAAGAACAGCTTCTGAACCAGGCACAAGACGACTTGCCCATATGTTTGATTTACAGAAGAGTGTTTTCCTTGCATAACTCCTGATTCAAGCAATCAAGCACATGCAAGGATGATATTCACACTAGTTTGACTGATACAGTAGAATAAAAATGGGTACAGAAAGCTCTTGGGCACACAGCAACCTAAACACCACCCTGAGTTCTTCCAGTAGAGAAGAAACAGGGAAGCCATTGATATTGCTTGTACTCAGATCCTAAATACAGTGTGATTAACACACAAAACACATTAGCAAATTTACAGGAAGAAACCCTGTGGCTCACCTGATGCATCAAACGAACTGCCAGTCGTTGGAGTTGCTGTCCCAAAAGCCGCATCAAAGTTAGGCTGTAGTAAGCTGGTTTGCGCTGGAGTGACTGGGGATGGTGATGGAGAGGGAGAAATAAAAGAACCTCCAAAGCCTTGAAAAAAGCCACAGAAGAGAGGTATGGATATTAGAGTCAGTCTTGTTGGGCTGTGTTTAACAAAAGTTCAATCAAAGGAGGCAGAATGACAAAGACATTTCTTACTAGGCCAGTGTAAATAACTCAGTACTACACAAGCAGCCTTGGTATGCCAAGTATGACTCAGGGAATTTTAACTTTTATGAGAGTCACCAATAAACACTTTAATATTTGTTATTTAGATTTCTTCAGAGGCAGACCAATGGAGTGGAGAACACAATTCTTCCACTATTACACTCCACTGTTCCAGGTAAGTAATCTCACAGGCAGAATGCAACAGACAAGAATTAGTTCAGGAAAAAAAGAGAAACAGAGGACTAACTTGAGAAAAGCCTATGATCACCCATCAACCACTCTGGAATCTCAATTCAAAAGGCAGTGTTTTACCAGTTTAGCCTCTCTCACCATATTAAAACACCCTGGTGTCCCTTGACAAGATGTCTTCAAGCTGCTGCTCCTTCACACTCCCATACCAAAGTAGGATCAACAGCATCCACAAGTGACCTGCTTGTAGGCTGGAGAATCTCCATAATTAAGGTTAATGTATATATTAAGCCCTGTATTTACATAAACAAACCCTATTCATGGAGATTCTCTAGCCTGCAAGCAGTGCATTCGATGCTGGACTGTTCTTAAAATCTCTCCCTTACCCTCCATATAATTTCACCTCTCTTGCAATTTAAGCTTATTTGCATTATCTACAGACTCTGGAAACTGATTAAATATGCAAAGACTGTCTCAAAACAAGAACAGACATATGACACTTGCTCAATTCTCTTTGGTCTACAAGCCATTTCTCTTATTCAATCTCTTCTTGGCAGTAATGTCCAAGACCTCCATACTACACCTTCAGTCTCAGCCTTGTTTTTTCCCCAGCTGTCCGTGCACAGAAAGGATCAGATCTGAGCTCAGTGCTCCAACCACGACCATGCTAATAGAGCAGGAAGAGCTCCCTGCACAGCCATAGGCTGTACTTATTTCCCCCTGTATCAGAGTAGGAAACTTTGTTTTGCCACAGCTGAGCCCAAGACAGTAACAAACCAGCACTCTACCACTGCCTTCAGTTCCTTTTCAGAGAATGTCCTGCCTTAGCGTCTACTGCCCATATCTGTCCAGTCAATCACTGCTGCCTATGGACAGAAGCTTGAACATCTATTCATTTGAAATTTCTCCTTTAGATAATGTTCTCCAATTTGTACAGAACATTTTAATTCCTATTCTCATCCAAAGGAAATACAGATCTTTTCATGTGGGTGAAATCTGAAACATTAAGCGTGCTACTCCAACTGTCACATTGTTGAAATGAAGTACCAAATAGAACCTGTTAACTTAGAAGAGATCATCTATTTACATTAAACCCTTATCATTACTTTCTGTCTTTTTACTGAGATAGTTTGTACCACTCTTGTTTAAGCAGTCAGCAAATTCCTTTCTTCTTCTTCTTCTTTTCAGCTTTCTTTACTTACCAGTTCAGTGGGGAAGCCAGCTTTTAAAAATGGCAAAATAAACAAAATTCTGGAGATTTTCTAACCACTTTTTATCCAAACTGATTCCCATGGTCACATCTTACAAACAGTGACAACAGCACATTTCCCAGCTATGAAATCAAGCATCTGCCAGACATTTAACTATGAGACAGGCTAGAGCTCAACATAATGAATTTGTGCTCCAATTGTGAGCATCAATTATATCAAATGTTATTATATCAAATGTTATTATGAGATCTCAGACACTCTTCCCAAAAACTGCTTTCTCAGAGAACAAAGATTAAACACCAAACACTTAACAGATGTTGAAAAGAATAAGAGAAATTCATATACACATGCACACTTGATGCAAGTATCAGTCTCATTTACACATCAGATGCATATTTTAGAAGAGAAGTAAGTTCTCAGTAGTTAACTGTATTCAAACCAGAAACCTCCGTAGGGAAATGAGGGTGGTGTGCCATCACCAGGTCCTGGGCACCAGGCCAGCAACTTGCTGTACCATCAGCAGACAGGCTTTGGCTTGTGGAATGCCCGGCCTAGATGAACAAGTACATTGGCCCCAGGCACAGCTGGGAGAGGTCAGCCAACCTGACTACGCACAACAGGTCCAGGAAAACACAGTCCGAACAGAAACACCCCAAATTACATCCTTCAGCTGAAGCTTGCCAGACTGCAGGCAGTGACTGAAAACACTCCGACTGTAACTTAAACTTGTCCCTTCAGATGCTACCAACCAAGGGCCCCAGCTGGAGCCAGGGAAGCAGGACCGGGAAGCTGAGCAGCCTGTTTTCTGCAGTCCGAAGTAAAGAGCGTTTCAAAATTCTGTGTGAGCTTCCCAGTGTTTAGTAGGCCTACTGCAGGGTTTGGCATCAAGAGGCTGTTATCACATTCCACTCCTCAACAAGTCACATACTCACAGGTGCCAATTCTGAACCTGGATAAACACAGTGGGATCAGAGATCTGACATCAGCTCTCCAAGGGCTGTTCTTGAAGCGGGTTTGTCATGGGATAATACAGGTTGGAAGGGATGTCTGGAGGTCAGCCAGCCCAACACCCTGCTCAAAGCCAGTCTAACCAAATCAGTCTGCCCAGAGATTTGCCCTGACACCTCCAAGAGAAAAGATTTCATCACCTTTCTGGACAGCCTGTTACCAAATACCTGACTATCTGCATGGCCAAAACAAAAAAAAAATCCAGTATTTAACTGGAATTTCCCACCCACATTGCCTTTTTTCCTATCACTGTGCACCTCCAAGAAGATCCTGACTAGGCTCTTCCATATCCTCCAGTGAGGTAGTTTAGAATTCCCTTTTGCCTTGCCTTCTTAAGGCTGAACGGACCCCGTTCTCTCCTCATATGTCATGTATACCAGTCACCACCGCAGTGGCCCTCTGCTTAACTCACTCTGGTACGTCTTGATCAAGAGATTCTCTAGTACATCCCAGATGTTCCCTGGATTACTCACACCCAGCTATATTGCCCTTCCAGCACATATGATGGTGGTTAAAGATGCCCATGAGCACCAAAACCTCTGATAGTGAGGCTTTCCCCAGCTGTCCAAGAAAGGCTTCCTCTACTGCCTCTTCTGTAGCAGAGACCTTCTATAACATCACTAGTGCTGGCCATTCATGTGATCCTTACCTACAAGCTCTGTCCTGATTCATCACCTGCCCCAAAGTAAAGCTCTATACATTCAACTATTTGCAAACAAGTACTATCTCCAAAGAATCAGACCAGTAGCAGGTTGACAAAATACAAGGGTGACAAAAGCAGCTGACTGCAGCAATTCTTAAAGCACTGGAGCCATCTAAAGTCCCTGTGCTCTTTTTAAATCCACTTCCTGAGTGAGAACATTGGCAGCAGACTTAATATCCATTTGTAGGATTCTGTTCAGAAAGTTATATAAGCTTTTGCAAAGCCCAAAGTGTGTTTCCCCAGTTACAGAAGAGAGTTCTCCCCAGCTTCAGGTGAAGTTCACATGACAATGAGTCGTAATTCCACAGCTTTTAGCCTTGCACAATGTAACAGAAACATCAGGCACAGAAGCCATAAAAATACTGTAACAGATTAAGTTCCTAGTTGTCAAGGGCTTGCACAAGACCCAGAGTGAGTCTGTAGAAACAGTAGCAACTGAGTTAGATCTGTTGTCTGGACATCCCCAACTGCCCAATTTTGAGGTTGCTTTTATTTACACATTCAAGAAAGATTTCTTATCAGAACATCCTATTAGAATATGTACAGGATACACATGCACACAATTTAATTGCATAGGAAGATCTAGAAGGGAAAATAGCTGGACTATGGTGTTTATCAGCATATTCTAGTCTTGTCTTTAGAGAGGCTTAGAAGAGTATGAAAAAATTCTACCATATTTAAGTGAGTCAAGAAAATACTGGAAACTTACTTGACAGCAGAACACTTAAGACAATGATGCATAGTATATATACTCACTATATTACACATAAACAGTACAACCACACACTCATAAACCATGAAGGACAAGCCTTCAGCCAGCATATGAATTTTGGACACTCTTAAATTTAAAACTGGATTACACTGCAGGCTATACATCTGCCATTATCTAGCATCAACAAATGCTTGGCAATATGCTGTGATGTTTACAGACTCTCTGTATCTGCCAAAAAAAAAAAATCTAATCTATTTGGAGCCCTTTGAATGTATATTCAAAGCAAAAATAAAATAAAAAAATAAATCGATCATTATTCACCCCAACTGCTTAAGGCTTGCTTGAGTATTTAGACTTATAACATCTCCTTCATAATTTAGATTTTGATTTAATGTGACTCATCAGATTCAGAAAGCACACTGATGATTTTTTAAGCCATCTGGAGCATAATTCCTACTGGAATTTAAGCTTAGTTACAGATAAGGACATAATATTTTGTATTGTAACATTTGCATAAGCAGAATTAGCTTCTGCCTGACAAGATCCTTGCACCCAGTCCCCCCAATAACACACACAACTGCAAATGACTGTTTCAGAATGTACTAGTTAAAGCCTGATCCCTGGCATTAAGCTATTAAGAGACTAAATTAATACAAAGACCTACAGAAGTAATATTAAAACAAAAGGTGGTCTTCTACCTTAAAATCCTGAAGCCACCTGTACTAAAGCTTGAAGTATTGTGTCCCACTTGAAGCAGCTGGCTTGCCAGCACCGGAATTGATTGACAACGGACGCATACATTACTATAGGCTACTCCTACCTTTCTGCAGCACAACCAGGTGATGCCCACACTTAGAGCAGCTACCACAAAACATGTCCTCAGCGTGCAAGCACCCATTTATATCAACTCTCAGCACTTCCAGCAGACTGCATATTCAGGTGTCTCCCTCACATTACGCATTTCTCATACAGAGGACCTGTCCTCAGCGTGCAAGCACCCATTTGTATCAACTCTCAGGACTTCCCGCAGACCGCATACTGCGGTGTCTCCCTTACATAACGCATTTCTCATACAGAGGATCTCACGAGCATATAAAGGCAAAACACGCAGGGTTGGACTTCTGATACCGTGTATGTTGGTACAAGAGACCTGCAAACATACAGGCAGCAACTGACATCAGGGCCCACCACACCTAGAGCCGTCAGCAGTTGCATAAAGGGCAGACTATCACTCCAGCTCAGAAATGAAGTCAAAGGCACAACATGAAGCTAACAGTCACCTTCACAGTTCACAAAGGATAACCTACCAACCAATTCTACTGACAAATTCACCTTTCAGAAACAGGGAAACTGAGCCAAGTCTTCCTCAAACCAGGAGTGCATTAGTTTCCTCTAAACCTGAGGAAGACCTGCTGGGATCTTGCTTTCTAGAAACTTCCAACTGGAATTGGGGGATTCACAACTGTTTAGCCGTTAAAATACGTGGTGTGGCACGAGTTTTGGGTAACGGCACAAACAGAATTCAGCTGAAGTTGCTTACCTGTAGGATGCAGACTACACCACCACAGTTATTCAGTCTTTGAAATAGGTGTGATAGCGATGCCACATTCTGCACTAGCAGAGACCTCATCCCCCGCAGTATAAGGAGAGGACCCCTATCACTTCGATGGCCTTGTGCTCAGAAAAGCGCTTGCTCATCACCCTGCCCCTCTTGGCTAAATGCAAGACTCTACCAAGTCATTCATTCAAGCTCTTCACATTTAAATGTGTAATCTGCTTCAGTTAAATCAAGTAATAAACAAAGATGAATCAGCAGTAAGTAGTGTAGCCTGCAATACTGCTTAACTCAAGTACTATTACAATCAGTCAAAGAAAGTTTATGTAAACACCCTTATTCAGTAAGCAGAGAAAAATAAGGCTTGTGTAGGAGGTAGAAAAAACAAAGGGCATGGGAAGAAGATAATCTAGGAAATTAACTTGTACTTTGGTACAGTGCCTCCGTTATAGATCATTGTAGTTTTACTTTAAGATGTCTAAAGCACTAAAAAAAATCTTGTGAACAACAATTTTATTCCACTGCAAAAGTCCACTTACACTGAAAGAACATAAAAGGATTTCAAAGATCCTTTCTTAGTTTTGCCTTAAAATAACAAGTTTTTAGAAGTTATTCATTACCAGCAAGTAGGTCTGCAGAAGCTGAGGAACTAGAAGCAGCCTGGGTTGCGGGCTGGGGTTCAGAAGCACTACTTCCAAAAGCATCTAAAGGGAATTCCAGAAAGCATCAAGAAAAAGGGTAAAGAGCTCAGTATTAAATGTGTCAATACATCACCTATCTTAAACAAAATATGTCAAAAGGATAAGCATTTAATTCATCAGAAGAAAATGGAAGTGCTTGACCATCTTTATTGCAGAGCAGTACCATGGACGCAAAGCTCAGGTGGAAAAGAAAGGAGGTGCAACAAACCAGCACTTCAAAGAAATCTTTTTTTCTATAGGAAGAATATCACTAAAGAAGATATTAAGGACTGAGGTTTGTGAGCCCTTCTAGTTGGGCCTCTTCTCAGAAAACCTATATAAACCACAGCATTCCAGGTGAGAGGGTTAAGCCCTTCGGAGATGAATGCATCAGATGACAGACTGGAGTAATTCCAGCCAGTTTCCTGACTCACATTAAGTTTTTTTAGAGGGATACTTCACTGATGTTTGAAAATTCACTACTTCTAAGCAACAACACTTCTAGAGTTGGTTGTGCCCATCCTAATTTCCACCTTGTCAAATCCAACAAAGATCCTGTGATTCAGATACCCAGTTTGAGACAAGGCACCCTCAAAACTTCAGCTGCTTTGAGAAACAAAACTGAGAGAAACCAACGTGAACATGGAGAGTAGCAAAGAAAAAAAAGCACACGACAGACTTCCACCGGACCTCTGAGGAAGAGCCATACATGCACCCACAGAAGACAGAATGGCAAGTGTCATGGCAACAGAATGGCCACACGGACAGCTTATTTGCAGTTCGTTATTGTGCCACATGAAGAAGTAGACATGCTAGTATTAGCAGTGATGCTACACAGAAGAGCTGTGAGGAGGGGAAACCACTTTAGCCAAGCACAAATGTAATTAAAATGAAGTGATTAAACTCTGAAGTGGTGAGGAAAGAAAAATACCCACCACCAAATAGGTCAATCACACCTGAAGAATCCACCTTTGCTGGAGAGGCAGTGGGTAGAGGAGAGGGGGCTGCAAATGCATCCACTGCAGTAAGCATAGGATAAATAATATTTAGTATCAGCAAGGCAACAATGATAGCTAAATATTTCAAAGTCACATGGGATCCACCAGTTAGAACCACAGGGTAGGTAAATTCAGGAAAGAGTCTTCAGAACTGCAAACAGGAAGTGTTACATTTCTCACACAGCAACTGAAAACCACAGTGCTTTAAAGGAAGCATTGTTTATTAAGAATTTTCTTATGCTTAGAGGAGGATTTAGGACTTTCAATGAGAAGAGGATAGGATAAGGGGTAATGGGTTTAACCTGAAAGTGGGGAGATTTAGATTGGATGTAAGGAAGAAATTCTTCCTGGAGAGGGTGGTGAGGCACTGGAACAGGTTGCCCAGAGAAGCTGTGGATGCCCCATCCGTGGAAGTGTTCAAGGCCAGGCTGGATGAGACTTTGAGCAACCTGGTCTAGTGGAAGGGGTCCCTGCCCATGGCAGGGGGATTGGAACTAGATGATACTTAAAGGTCCCTTCCAACCAAAACCATTTTATGATGATTTTACGATTTACTCTCTCAACAACCACATTACTTACTCAGCGTCAGTGTCAACCACTTCATGGTTTGCATCTTCAGCAGCTTCTAATCTTGTGACCAAAGTGTCAACAAACACATAACTTCACATATCAATTTAAAGATTTAAATTGGCAATGTATTTTTTTTTCTCTTAACTCTTGAAGAAAAAAAAAAAAAACAAAACCACAACCGTAAGTCTGTAGGATGGCCCATGAAGACAAGCACTCACCAGATAAGAGATCAGCAGTGAGAGAACTCTCAGGCACAGGAGAAGCTCCATGCGGCGGAGATGAAAAAGCATCTTCCAGAAATTAAAGAAAAAAACCAAATAAAAGTAAGTATCATTCAAGTCAGTTTTACACCATTAAGACAGCATCAAAGCAGCAGAGTATTAGAAGAATGCTCTCTTTACCTGTACCAAAGAGATCTATGCTAGGAGTAGCATCTGGTTTAGGTGCTGCAGGTACGTCAGGAACAGACTCAAATAAATCTAAGGCCAAGAACACAAAACGTCTTTAACTCATTTTTGAAAAGCAGGACTGAAAGCAGAACTTTCAAGTTTTGCACATCCTATTTGGAGCTAATAGGCTCTCTGGTTTGAAAGCCTAGCACACATGCAACCACAATTTGTTTGCTCTGTACTTCTGACAGATCAATCCACCAGAATCAAAGAGTTAAAAACAAATTTACCACCAAAGATATCTAGAGCAGGAGGAGCGGAGGTGGTGGCGGTAGCAGAAGTGGTGGCAGTGGTGGTAGTGGCAGTAGCTGTAGTAGCAGTAGCAGCAGCAGCAACAGCAGCAGCTGGAGAAGGAGTTGTTGCAGGAACTGGAGTGGCTGCACTAGTTGTAGGGGTAACTACAGGAACAGCAGTCTCTGTTGGCTTCATAGCAAAGAGGTCCAGCTCAGGAGCAGCCTCTGCACTACCTTCGGATGGGGCAAAGGGGTCTTGTAAAAAGGAGAGGGGAAATATATGTGTATGCATACTTAGGATCCGTGAGGGAGGAAGTCAAGAACAAAGCAACTACAGGCAATGCACATACTGCAAATACACGCACCACACAGAGGAGGTTGTTCTAACATCCAGCTTACTTATCCAGACATGTTACTTATGTTTTTCCAAAACAGACCATCTGAAAGGCTGAGCAGTCTAATTACTAAGGGGGAGAACTTTAAATGGCTGTTTGACAAGGCCAAAAAAAAAAAGACAGAAATATGATAAAAGGATGTCTAGTTTAGCAGGTTACTGCTTAGAAAACTCAGCATTGCCAGAATCGTTTATTAGCATTACCAAATAAGCACAAGGTTACTGGGTATCAGAAACAGGCAGTTTTGTTAAGCATGCTCTTCAGCCTAAGGTTTGTTATGACCAATTGCAAGCACTATGAAAATTTCAGAAAAACACACTGCCATGTAGTTTAAAACAAAACAAAAAAACCCACCAGCAAAACAAGAGACTAATCTAATGACATAAAACCCACCATTTCCTGAACATGCATCAAGAGCTGCTGCTACAGGGGTTGGGGTAGCTGGTGCTGCTGCCCCTTCAGCTGCTGCAGGGGCTTCCCCAGGAGAAGCTGCAAAGGCATCTTGGGTGCAGTTTAAAAACAGAAATTAAAAAAGATAAAGAGAAGAAAAATATAGTAAAAGAACCAAGTTAAATTGCACAGGTAGATCCCCTTATACAACATGAATGTTGTTACTCTGACAGTAAAACAAGTCATGCAGCGCAACAGGTTATGTCTCTCCCAACCCCACACGAGCAGGTTCTAGACAGAGCGTGAAGATGGAGCTCCTTGGGTTGCCCACAGGAAGTACAGTGAGTGTAAAAGGCGGCGTTATTCTCATTGTATAAGGGTCCTGAGCAGCATGCTCATGTACTACCCAAGATTAACCAATGAAGAAAGAGCAAAGGTATGGCAGTAAGTTGGTGTTAATAAGGATATTAAAAACTTGCATGCTCAAAGCCCGTAATAAGTGATTAATCTGCAACTGTGAATTTACTCACATAGTGCTTTGCAAACTTGAGCACTGTTACAAATGACAATCCAATTATACTGTCAGAGATCTGCATCTCCCATTTCTAGCTTTTAAGCCAAGTCAGTCATGCAACATCTGAAAAATTGAACTTACGTGTTTCTTAACAGTATTCCAATTGGATCTTTCTGAAGCCATAACCTGATACATAGGTTATATTTACTCGGCTTGCTTCTGACAGATCAACAATATTTGTCTTAACTACTGGCCAGCCATATTTTTCTGTTCTTCTCTGAGGATCATCTCTAAGGCCAACCAGTCAGGTCAGGGAAAAAAACTTGTTTCAGGCTTTTGGAATGACCAGGTCATGAGTTCTGACTGGGGTTTTTTGTGTGCCACTTGATAAGTGGCATGTTTACATTTCAAGCTCTGAACTTTTACATTATTATTCCTAGGCTTAAACCACCATCTGTAGCTCTTAATTCCATGAAGTAGTCCTAATGGACCGTGCCATTTGGGCTATCCTCATAGCAAGCATTTTCTTCACAAAAAGACTGCGCAATTAACATTAACTACTTCAAAATGCTCATAGAAGCCATTTTTCTACTGCTACAAAGTTAGCAAGTTAAAAAAAAATTATGTCGGGGAATACTGCAATTGCACTGTCAAACTAGTACAGGAAAAAGCTTAACATGCTTTAACTTGAGTGTCAATTTTAAAATGAAAACAACCATTTTAAAAACAAGTTTGTGCCAGTTAATCTAAAAAGCTCAAAAGAACATGCACTGAAACTTCAACGCAAGAGATGAAAGCCCATTAGTCTTGTACAATAGAATTAAAATGAGTTAGTAGCAAAAAAGGCCTGCTAATAAGCCATTTCAAATATAATTCTATTTTTCATGTAACAGGGTACAACAACAAAACTGGATGGCAGTTGTCCATGTAAAAAAATAGTAATTTGTCAAACATCACACTATTGTATGTATACCAGACACTGGCATACACCACGTAGAAGAAATTCAACACAGAACTGGACTGAAGAGTTTTGAATTGTACTGTTTGAGAATGTTATGCATATGGTCATGTAGGTTGGGTGTTGCTGTACAGGACCAGCTTTCAGATGGCGGGTCACCCTGGGCTCTTTCAAAAGTACACATTTCTATCTACACAAGCTTGTAGGCCAACAGCACAGAAGTCGGTCAACACTACTTATTACTTCCCAGCATGAAAGAAGAGACTCTGTGGGATTTCAGAATGCATAGTAGACACAAGTTCTATGCTGGGACCACTTCAGGATTAAAGTAACACCTATTCCTGTCCATACGTAGAGTGTTGAAATTCTATGTGCAGCCTCTGCAGAAATTCAGGTGGGCACAAATTTCTTCCAGCCCACAGATGGAAGGGAACAGGTAGCTTGGCACTAGCCAACTTGGCACCAGCTTTATTATTTATTGCCACTTCTGACTAAGGTTCTAGCTAAGGATTATAATTTTATCACCATACTTGGGTTAAATGGTAGGTGGAACAATATATTTAAGTTAATAATGGAACCTAACGGAAAAATGCCATATTAAGAACTTCAATTGGTTACTCTGAGAAGTTCAAGCAAGCTAGATAAGCATAGAGACAGACCAACCTGAACAGGTGACCCTACAACTCATAGTTCAGACCAAGGGTGGGTGGTTGAGGTGTTTGCCTTTCTCCTACATTTAGATTTCTCCCTCTCAAGAATGATTCCAGCTACCTTTTGAAAACAGCCTCTTCTTTATCTCAGAAACAAGATAAAGAATTCTTCAAGTTGGCCCAGGTAACTGAAAGCTTGCCCATTAATCAGATAGAAGTCTTCATAATCCTGCATTGCCTTCCAAGGCCATGTTAGAGATGATGACATAATGCAGAGCTGCTTCTCCTCTTAAAGACAAAAGCCCAGTCATAGGCAGCACGCAGGCTCTTAAAGAACCAGTGATAGAGTGCAAGAGGATAATGGTCCAACACTCAAAGTCTCTTCTGCTTCTTTCATCAACTTGGCAGCCTTTTTCCTGCAGCTTCCAGCTTCCCTTC